TATTTGTGTGTTATGTGTATGGGGTGTGCCTGTGCCATGACTAATGGAGGAAGGATCACACAAGGATGAATTCAGCTCTTTCCTTTCAACATGTAGGTAGGTGGATGGGTTATGTCCCCAGGCTGGGCAACAAGCTTATATCCATTGAGCCATCCTATGAGTCCTTGTAATTATCTTTTGGGGCATTTTTACAACCATGTAAAATGGGTGTATAATCTGCATGTGTGTTTCCAGCTTTGGCATCTCAATAATACTGGCTTCTTAACGAGTTTGGAAATGTTCCTCCCTTCCTGTTCCATGGAGGAATTTGAGACGTGCTGGTCTTGGGTCCTCTGAGAAGGCCTGGTAAAATTCCCCAGTGAACTCATCTGAGCCTAAACAATTTTAGTCATTTTTATTACACACCAGCATCACTACTCACTATAGATTTGCTTAAATTATTTATCTCATTTGGGTTTAATAGTGGTCAGTCACATGCATTAGAAATCAAGATTTCTTTTTGAACTCAAAAAGGAAATTCAAAATCAATTATTTTAGATTTTCCAGATGGGTGGAATATATGTATTTAAGCCATGCACACGTGGTTTGCTGATTCCTCACTTCTGCTCTGCTGTCTACGCCGTCCTATCTAAATTTATCAATTGGATTGTCTATCCCTTTCTTTTGGTCAGTTTGGTTAAAGACTTGCCAATCCTACTCAAAAACTAGCCCTTTGTTTTTCTTCCCCAGCGTAACTGTTTCTGGGCTACTCATTCTGGTTATTAACTGTTCATGTTTGCCTAAGGCCCTGACATGCATCACAGAGCTATTCATTCAGAATTTCAAGGATCCTTTTTAAGTATCTATCTATCTATCTATCTATCTATCTATCTACCTACCTACCTACCTACCTATCTAATCTATCGTGTGTGTACACACACACACACACACACACATATATATGCAGAGGTCAGAGGACAAGTTGGCCACATGGGTTCTGCAATTGAAGTCAGACTGAGCCACCTTGCTGTTCATTAAGGAGGTGCTGAACTGTAAACTCTTTCTTAAAACTGAGTCATTGGTACCAGTGATTGGGTTTGTTGTGTTTATATCCACTTGCTTCTAGGAGTTTCTTAATTTCTTCTTTAGTCTTCTCCCACTTGTCTATCACCCAGAAGTGCGCTGTCTGGTCTCCGAAGACTGTGAATGTCTACAGTTTCACCTGCTAATTAGCAGTTTGACACCATCAGCAGACGCCAGGAATTCCATTAGTTCCTACATTTGGTAAGGTTCTTTTCGTGCCCTGACACCAGCTTGATTTTAAATTATTGGGGGAGTGGTAAAATTCAGTTTGATTTTTAAAACATTTCCTACTTATTTTTAAAAATTTAAAACAAAACTAACACTCCCATACAAACTTCTAATTGTCATTCCCTGTCCTTCTAAAAAGGAAAAAAAAAAAAAAAAAACAAAATCCCCAAAGGTGGGAGGTTTGTGTGGCCCCAGTCAGGTGAGCACCTTCCTCAACTCAGTTGGAGTGGTGAGAGCTCAAGGTAGAGTCTTCACCCCTCAGACCAGCACTGGGCAAGCTGTGCAGGAGCTGAGCCCTCCACCCTCCCCTCCAGAAGTCAGCTGAGCATGCACTAGGGAGCCACTGGGGGCCTCATCAATCAGCCCATTCTGGAAATAGCAGAATCTAAGGTAACTGTACAGAAATCAACATCATCCCACGAACATGTTATCAACAGCCCGGAAACCTAATGAAAAACAGCCAGCCCGTTCACAAAACAACAACGCATCAAACGCCTGAGAAACCTACCTATGCCACCTCTTCAAGGATCAAATACCACATTTTACATGCAAATTGTACAAAGAAAATAAAAGCCCTTAATGTGGGAAAGATCTGAATAAATGAAGAGACTCCAGGCTGAAGACTTGATGCAGAAGACCACAGTGCTCCTCATTTAATTTATGACTTTATGCAGTTCCAGGCAAAACATTACAAGGTTATTACAGAACTTGATAAATATGGTTTTTAAATTTGTATAGGAAAATAAATGGGCAAAACTATCAGAGAGCTAGGAATCAGTATCTGGGAGGAAGGCACAGGCTCAGGCAGGTCTTAAAACAACGATTGCCTGGCTATAAACCAACTGAGGGAAGCATCAGGAAGATGTACAATTTAACAAACTCAATAGGAATAAAACAGATCACAATAAAAAAGTGCAGACCACACGATGCATCAACACTCAGAGGGCTGAAACGTCCTTCAAAGCCTCTTAGCCCCGGCAGACAGCAAGGCTGTCTTTCTCTTTTTCATAACAGAGAGATCAGAACATTTCAAAGGGACAAGATGGAGACTTCCTGACCCTGGGGAAGAGCAGTCTTTCTTAATTTCCAATCTCCCAAGGTCCATCTCAAGCTCTTGGTTCCTGAAGCACTGACAATCAAAGCAGGCCAAGGCAGCTAGTTAAACCCACATTGTTCTCTAATTATGCATCCAGTGTGCAGGAGGGAGGCTGTGCAGGCCGGTCTCCTGCCTGCTCTGTCACCCCTCTGTCAGGTGGACACCCAGGGCACCAGGGAGCCTTCCTATGGGACAGTGGCTAGCACCCACCCAGGGTCTCTGGCTTTCCCTCCTTTCATCACAGACGTTAGATGGGCTAGGAGGGAAGCCAAGGCCAACACGAGGAGAGGCCTATAATTAATGGAGGTTTTTTTACCACAGCAGTGAAGGTGGGACCACTGTCTTCATTTCTGGACTGAAGACCTACATTTTAGTCCTCTAAGGAAGGCTTCACTGTATGCCACGCCAAGTCCTCATGGGTCCCACTAGGAACCACGTCACCTTAACATTGTACATTAGTGACCCAGTTCAACAACTCAGTGTGTTGCACAGAGAAAGGTATCCATTGGAAGGACAAAGGCAAGTTAAAGGGAGCCTGGCATAGATCGCACACCTACAAGCACGCCTGTGTAGAACCCTTGGGGGCACAGGGCAGGATAGGATGTCTACTAGACTGCTTTTGAAAAACAAAACCAAGTGAAAAATAATAAACAAATACCTCAGAATCCTCTTTAACTCAGAGTAAGTCCTGTGCATGAGGCCCATCTTGTCCAGTTATCAGGACAGGCTGGTTATAGAGCGCAGACTCATTTGCCTGAAGAAAACTGCCTCACTTCTCCACTTCACTATGTACATATAGGAAGAGTCCCCACCTGCCACAGCCTCAGGACTAGACACGTGAGACTGGTCTAAGCATAGATGGAAGAGCTCAAGCTGAAGGGGTTCTATGAGCATGAGCCTGAACCATGATACCACCAAGGGCTTTCTCTGGACTGGAGGCTTTCCCCTTGCTCCCTAGCTCCCCCCCCCCCCCCCCACGCCTGAAAACTGAGTCAGAACCCCAGGCAAGATGAAAACCACTCTGAGGCTCTCTGTCTGTGCTGGTGGTTGACGTTGGGGTGGGGGTGGGGCACTGAGATACTCAGGAAAGTTGGACAGAGGCATGGCTGGGAGCCAAGGGCCTTCTGGACAACCAGATCCCTAGCAACCAGCAATATTTCCACCCCAAGACACCAGGTTCCAGGCAGAAGTTGGGGCAGAAGACATTCAAAACCAGAGGCCTCTAAGCTCGTGATTTCTTACACTGATGTTTCAGCTAGAAGCGTAGGCAAACTAACTCTAACTCTACGCTGGGATGTGGGTAAAGCCCACTCCTGACATCTGCATGGAAAGCAAGGCTCATAAGCTCCAGGGACAAGACCCAAATCACTGATTTCATGGAAGAGAGAAAGACATAAGGAACTGTGTGTGTTGATCTGCATAAAGCAGAAGGTAAGAAGGGGCAACTTTAAGTCTTCTCAGGGTTGATGTGTCCACCTCTAACCTCATCCTCTTCCCAACAGAGCAGTCCAGATGAACTCTATAGTGGTCAGGACAGAATCCTAAAGTTGGCTATTTCTCCTTGTTGTTTCCTTTTGGCTCCAGCTGGCCTTTCCCCCTAAATCACAAGATCAGGAGTTGGAGTTTTCATAATTTCTCCTGGTGAGAGCCAGTGGAGATCAGAGAGCTTGAGTAACAGCAAAATAGCACCCCGGAGAGAGGAACCCAATGTTCCCGCATTGTGCCTAGTCCCCTTGGAGGACAGGAGGGAGGAACCCTGTGCCAAATTCCCAGTGGGGTTGAGCCTTCCTGACTGATTGCCACAGTGAGGGGTGGGGCGCACTTCAAAGTCCCTCAATTCATCTCTCTCCAAAGGAGAGTCTGAAAAGCCCTCCATCTCCCAAAATAGTCCTTTCCAGCGACTGTCCAAAACATGCTCAACGGAGACCGGACCACTTGCCAGGCAGAGCAGAACCCAGGCTCATCTTGGAGAATGTGCTGGTGCCTGTAGGACCTCTGACAACAGCCTGCAAGCCTTTACAGACTCACATGACTCACCTGTTGCCCAGAGCAACAAGCACATTGCCTTGCACATGGGAACAGGTAGAATGGAAGCAATCTTTTTATGAGTTTGAGGGAAAAAAAAAATCTTGGTTGGACTAGGTCTTAAAAGACAAATGGAGACTAACAGTCAGCCCTGGCCCCAGAAACTGGAAGAACTCTACCCGTGACTCCAAGTCTGGCTCTTAGCCTCCCTGCCCTGCTCATTCACTAGGGTAGAATTTGTTACTCTGAGCCCACTGGTAGTATGTTAATATTGGGGGGCATCTCATATTGATCTGCATTTTGCTGGATGGCAGGAATTGTTCATCCTCATTTACTTCGATCTCCCTACAATGCCAGGAATAGTGTCTTGGTCATAGAAGTGACTCAATTTGTGACTGCTAAATAGCCAATTTCATTTGTAATTTCCGAGACAGCTCCAGGAGGGGAGGCAAAGAAGGCCAATGTAATTAATAGATGGACCTGACTAATGTCTTTGCTCCAGAAAGGGAGTATTGTAGAGCAAAGAGCCTCAGAGGCCTGCCGGCGAAGAGGAGCCCCAAGACAGGCCACTGGGGCCATTTGTGCTTACCTGGATTGTCTCACGGCTGCCATTCAAACACTCCATTCTGTCACCAAGCAGCAGGCATCTTCAAAGTCTTCTGAAATAGAAGCAAAATGGAAGGTTTGAGACCCCAACCCTTCTCCTATAGCCTCCCCCACCCCACTCCCGGGAGGGAACAACATCTAAAGAAGGTTGCTGTCGAGCACCATGGAAACATCTCCAGAACATGGTCATCTGTCCTTTGTGGAGGGCATTCCACTTCAGAGCCCTGATTGCTAGAATATTCCTTCTTGGGCTGCAGCCTTCTATAAGCACCACCCTCTGGAGCTATGGAAAGGGACTCTGAAGCCTCTTCCACAGGACAATCCCCTTCACAGCACATCTCAATAAAACCCCACTGGATGACACTCTAATGAGCTGGAAACTGCTTTCTTGTACAGCTGGTTTAGGAGCCTGCCTCTGGCAGAGCATGCAGGTAATATATGAACACACTTTATTTACCAGCAGACACAGAGAGATCCCTTGCTCTTAGTCTGATAACAACCGAGGTCGTTCATCATCCACTTGGTCCCTTTTGAAATTCACTCTGCAGCAAGCACTTTTTAAAGTCATGCACATAATACATTTTAAAGAGCATTTTCTGTGCAGATCCATTTGCTCGACCTCAGCACTAAGTGCAAGATGGAACTGTCTTCAGCGCAGCCCCTGTTCCTCCTGGAATCGGTGCTGAACACATGCTGAAATGAATTTGTAACTATACATACCTAAAACCAGGGCTTGAAAATGCAGTGTTTTGTTAAATGTCCATTGATTGATTAAAATGCATCTTGCAAAGAAAGAGCATTGCTAATGCAGAATCCTAGTCCAAAAATATGTATTATGTAATGCATATTTTTTAATAATGCAGGCAATGTCAGTGTATTGGTATTAGTGAATTGGCTTTGGGCTGCCATCTCTGTTACAGGCATAAAGCACTCCATCTGAAAAATGAGGCACTTTCCTCCATACGTTAAAGAACCATAACCCATATAACCCCCCTCACTGCTGACAGCTGGCATCAGTTTCCATCAAAAGGGCATTTACCAGCACCCACACAGCCTGCAGCGCTCCCTCAATGTGCCTTAAAATCAGCTTGACCAATGTCTCTATGCACCAAATGCTCGCTGGCAGAGCTGTGCTAACTGAAAACCTGGGATAGGCATGTGAAAGTGGTCAGATCCCTCAGACATCCCCCACCAGGCAGGAAAGGGGATCTTAGGTCTCAAAATTCAGCAGCCCCGAGCAGGGTCTCCCAGGCAGTACCCTAGGGTCAGCAGGGCACAGCTGGAACACTGTTTCCAACACAAAGTTTCCAAGCTTTGCTAAACCAACCCTCTCTACCAGAGCAGTTAGCACTTCAGGGCTAACAACATACCAACTCCTGGACCACAAGATGCAATACAGATATAGCCAAAGGACAGAAACAAAATCCGCAACCCATCCAGCAGTGGCTGGGCTCTTACTAAGCCCTTCATTAGAGCATCTGGATGCTTTAATGCAGTCTGGTGCTGAGGGTATGAGGGTAAGTGACCCACAGACAGCACTGGCTTAGGACATGACTGAGAATTCCGCTTCCAGGAAGGAATCCTGGGGAAGCAGAGTTTAGAGAGGCAGCAGAACCTCTTCTTTGAATTTCTTCACATGGACTCAAGAAAAGAAAAGAAAAAAAAAAAAACAAAAACAAAAACAAAACAGCCCAACCTGTGACATGTGTCCCATGTAAAATAACCCTCCCGGGACTTCATGCATTCCATAAACACAGCTCTGTTTGTCTCTGTGGCCAAAACAAAACAAAAAAAAAAAACCTTCATATTTAACTAATAGCAAGGCAAGATAAACGAACTCCCCCACCCCACCCCAGCGGCGGTCACACACAGGAGGAACCTGAAAACTTCCCACTTCCCACCACAGGGATCTGTGATCCGTCCCCTCCCGGACTTACCTAATTCATCAGGTTTTCCCGGGCTACGGAGACCAATACCACGATCTAGTGGTCTCTAGCCGCCCCCTAGCCATGATGTTCTGGCCGATGCACCTGCTTTTCTCATGTATCTCAGCTGGATGAAGTCACGATGCTGAAAGAATGAGTTGAAGCTCTGGTTAAGGTACATTAACCCCCTCAACACCCTTCCTCTAATCCAAGACCCGCTGGGGTTCGCCGCTGTATTCAGCACCTAGAACAGAGCCCCGCCTGTGCCGGAACTCAAGTTCGGTGGTGGTTGAACCCTCTCAGCTGAAATCTATCAGTTTGCGCTCAGTAACTACCCTAAAAATCCGCCCAAGAGTAACGGCTGTAGGGCCTTCTCCTGGTCGCTGGGGGCTTCCTACGGTCTTCCAGCACACCTCAGTGAAGCAGAGTTCACCATCAGCTAGCCATCGCCCCGCAAACTCCCACCTCTACAGCTGCAGGGGACTTTCTTGAGCGACGGCTTGTTTGTCGACGGGGTGACTACTTTTTGGAAGCTGTTCTAATTACAGTTACTGTAACAGCCCCGACAAAATGTCGTGATTAATGACTACCTGAGGTTCCGATCCCTCAAACCATCAAGCCCTTGGAGAATACCAGGTGTTGGGTCATTAAAACTCATGTACGAACCCTCATTCTAGAGAATGTTCGCAATTTTGCGTCTTGGTTTTCAGTTGTCCAAGGAGAAGTTGGGGAGTGGGATAAATCCCGCAAGAAATCCACACTCAGCTTCGAGACTGCTAACCTGTAGCTATCTTGCTCGCTTGGCTCATTAGAACTGACTACCATCTGCCCCCCCCCCCCACCCAAACGTCGATGCTTTGGCCAAATCCTCTCAAACAAGGTTCCCGCCTGCCACCTGCCGGCCCACTAGGGTCTGCGCCACAGGCTATGCGCCACCGCGCATCTAGCGGGGAGGCACCCCCACCTCTCTACTGCACATGCCCGGCAGAAGTCCGCGCAACTTTATAGGGCCACACCGCCCCATCTCGCCTCAGTCTCCTCTATCCTCTCCCTGATGAGAGGACCAGTGGAGGCACCTCTCGGAGTCTTAGACTTAAGAGTCTGAGACTTAGCGAGAGGAGCCCAGAGGAGACAACCCTTCTCTGTCCTTTACCTATCCCTTTCTTTTACTTACAGACGCAAGCTGAGGCGCGGAGCTGTAGAAAGTTCGTAGTGGTCGGGAAGGTAGGTACATCTTTTCTTTTCTCCCCGAGGTGAGACTGGGGTCTCCGGACCCAGCTTCTCACCTCATAAGGTTCATCCTTTTCGGCTCCAGCTGTTCTTGCGCAGTGGGGCCACTCTCTGCAGAGCCAGAGGGTGAGTCGGCTTCCCATTGAGCACCTAGGAGAATGGATCGCAGGTCCCGGGCTCAGCAGTGGCGCCGAGCTCGCCATAATTACAACGACCTGTGCCCGCCCATCGGCCGCCGGGCCGCCACCGCGCTCCTCTGGCTCTCCTGCTCCATCGCTCTCCTCCGCGCCCTAGCCACTTCCAACGCCCGTGCCCAGCAGCGTGCTGCCCAGCGTCGGAGCTTCCTTAACGCCCACCACCGCTCCGCCGCTGCCGCCGCTGCTGCGCAGGTACTCCCCGAGTCCCCTGAATCCGAGTCTGACCACGAGCACGAGGAGCCAGCGCCTGAGCTAGCCCGCCCTGAGTGCCTGGAGTACCCTGACACTGATTACGAGACCGATTCGGAGACCGAGTCCGAGACCGAGTCCGAGACCGAGACTGAGACCGAGACTGAGACGGAGACCGAGTCGGAGACCGAGTCGGAAACTGAGTCCGAGTCTGATATCGAGTCCGAGTCCGAATTAGAGAGCGAATCTGATACCGCCCCCGCAACTGAGCCTGAGACCGAGCCCGAGGACGAACGCGGCCCCCGGGGTGCCACCTTCAACCAGTCTCTCACCCAGCGTCTGCACGCTCTGAAGTTGCAGAGCGCCGACGCCTCCCAGAGTCGTTCGCAGCCCACCACTCAGGAGCCCGAGAGCGCAAGCGAGGGGGAGGAGCCCCAGCGCGAGCCCTTAGACGAGGATCCTCGGGACCCCGAGGAGTCAGAGGAACGCAAGGAGGAGGAGGAGGCCAGGCAGCCCCGCCGCTGCAAGACCAGGAAGCCCGCCCGCCGCCGCGACCAGTCCCCGGAGTCCCCTCCCAGAAAGGGGCCCATCCCCATCCGGCGTCACTAATGGGTGACTCCGTCCAGATTCTCCTTGTTTTCATGGATAAAGGTTAGTTGACCTGACCAACCTGGGGACCCTGAGACAGTGCGGTGGGGAGGAAGGGGACAGGTGGGGAGCAAGGTGGGAAGGGAGCGGTGTCCACTAATCAGCCTAAACCGCACCCTGGAAAAGGAGAGAGGGTTCCTCAGTTTTTTCCAGGGCACCCAGGGGCGCTTGGGAGGCCAAAGGTTTGTTGGACGGCGAGGCTTTCCTGATGCCTCGCTGGAGACAACCTGAGGTCCCCGAGCTGGCACCCAGTGTGCGACACTGAATTCTGAGAGCGCTCCAAGTTTGGAAACGCATACCTAAAAACGGCAAAGGTAAGTCCCTTGTTTTCTACAATTTTTTTTTCTCCCTCCTAGAAAGGTTAGCCTGCAGCACTGGAGTTGGCTTGGGCTAGAGCCCAATGGGATCTACGGAGGTGCGCGCGCCAACTTGGGCGATCAGAGAACTGCTGCGCCGTAGCTACACTGTTGCAATGCGCAGAAAGTAACTAACTGCGCAGGAATTGGATTAGAACTCTGGAGCCTGTCTCCAGAGCAAAGTCGCACGTGCGCTCAGCCGGCGCGGGGCCTGGAAATCGGGTCCCGGAATGGCCAATTTCGTGGCTGCGGGACCCTGGAGCCAGTGCCTCTCACGCCGTGCAAGCAGTCTTGGCCAACACCGCTCACTTCTCGAGGTTTGCGGAGACCCAGAGATCGTGAAAAGGAGCGCGCGCACCTCTTCTGTGCGCCCCAGAGCCAATCTTCCGGCACAGATAGGCGTCTTTCACTAGTGAACGGTGCTTGGACGGCATAGTGTAGGTACAGGGGCCTTTAGGGGTGCCCTTTTGGGCGAGCTGCGTTGGCAGCACGGACAGGATCACATCGGGTTATAGCTAACCTTTTGGGGCAGCCGGTTGGGCGGATCAGACTTGTCTGGAGAGGTCCAACACTGTGCGCCTAGGTCCTAGAGGCAGGGAAGAAGGAATGAGAGCGGTATCAACTGGTCTTGGGCAGAAAGATAAAGTGGATCAAGGCATAGGCTGAGTAAGGGGGTCGTGGATAGCACTTGGACACCTTCCAAGGCGTCCCCAAAGATCGTGCCACTTCCCAAGATGTCGGATCCTGCGCTTAGAACCAAGAGGGGACAGAAATGACGCGCTACAGCAATACTAGCCATCTTAAGCTCGGGTGGAGCTGTATTTGGAATCTGTAACCCGAGGGGAGATTGCCAGTGATAGTCAGCGATAGTCCCCAAGCTGCTGTAAGCACGTGACACACGTAGGAATGTTTTCCTCGCCAGCCTTCGCGGGAAAGGCTGATAAAAAGTAAAACGCACCTACTAAATTTCACCCATTTGGAAACATTTTTCCCCCCAAAGTGCGAGCGTCTGGTCATGCGGCGGCTTGAGTTACTTTGATGGGATGATTTGGAAAATCTGGTTAAGGAATGCTTTTTAAGGCTTGAAATCAAAGGCGGCTGGGCTCCTGCGCTTCTTAGAGAGCAATGCGAGAATGCATTACGTAGTCTCCTTCCAGGTCCTAACCTCTTTCCTTGGGATGGCGTCGCCGTCCCCAGAACTTAAGTGAGGGTGGGCTATGCGCACTGCGGCTAATTGCGTCTTTGTTCTACGTAGGGAATGGGTTTGTTAGCGGTGGGTAAAGGACGTGCGGGTAGCCTGCGAAAAGGAAGTGGGGGTTTTTGGATTGAATGAGTGAAATTCATCTTTCTGAAGTTCAAATTCTCGACAGGCTAATACGACGATCGTGACGTTTTCTTGACGTTAGGTGCCATTTTATCTGGGATGTTTTGGTAGTGCGAGTTTACCAAGCAACAGGTTTCTAGTTAACAGGTGGAGATGCCACGCTTTTCAGCGTGTCTTCTCCAACGGGGAGAAGTGTTTCCGACAGAGTTGGCTCTTTATTAGCTAAATTAGAATGCTGCCTTGTTGCTGGATGAATAAAATTTTAAAAGCGTCTTCAGTCCCTATAGCCCCCACCTCACCTACGTTGCTCCTTTAAAAAGAAGCCCAGAGTCAGGCTTGGTGGCGCATGCCTTTAATCCCAGCACTAGGAGGGGGAGGGGTGTGTGAGGCGAGTGGAACTCTGCCTTCAAGACCAGCCTGGTCTCCAGTTCCAGGACAGCCAGGGCTGTTAAACAGAGAAGCCCTGTCTCAAAAACAAAACAAACAAAACAAAATAAGAAAAGAAAAAAAAAACCAGCAACAAAGAAGCCTAGCTGAGCAGTATACCAGGCTCACTTCACACACGGGGCACCCAAACAGGAAGGCGCATTTTGCTGTCTCTCAGTAATCTTCAAGCTCTTACCTGTCACAGCAGATGCATTTGCACCCCAGTCTGCTACCCAGCAGCAGAGCCCTTCCCCCTTCCTAGCGCTCCTCCGACTTCAGGAGAAAAAGCCCAGGGGGCATATAGGAGTATAGCACACTTGGGAAAGCACCCACCCACACAAGGAAAGGTTTTGCTAAACACACATTTCAAGTCTACTTTCTGTGAAATAGAGATTCCAGTCAGTGGGGTTCAGCTACTTTCTTTCCTTTTCCAGGGGCTTTTCTAGCAGGTTCTCAAACATTTCCAGCTCCCTAGCTTCCTAACTGGCCCTTTGTCTTACACGGTTAAGCCGGGGTTAGCATTTGAATGGGCTGGCTTTTCTTTTAACAGAGGTAGAGTGGCTGAGGGAGACTCACCCTGGGAAAACCCGACCGGGGACCCTGTAGACCCCAGCCATGGGGGGTGGGGACGGCAGCAGAGCTAGTTAAAATTCTGTGCCATAATATTTAGGGTTCTTCACTGCATTAATCGTTTGCTTAATGGAAAAACTTTGCTTCTATAGAGGAGGAATGATCTAATAATTGAATGTAAGTGCCTTTCTTTTATGTGGCAGCGTTCAAATACCATGTGATGACAAAACCTAGATTAAGTATTTTTTTTAGTTTAACAATAAGACTTATAGTTGTATTTATGAGCATTGGAAACTGAGATGGGGATGTGACCTCTTGGAACAGGCTCGAAGGTTTTTTGTTAGGCGTTGCTTTCATGCACCTGAAGCTAAAGCTTCTTCCATTCTGGAATTGTTTGCCACCTTTCATCCTTTCGCCTTCATGGTAGCAGTCGTGTTTGGTTAACAAGAAATTCGAAACAGCAGTACTACTGGTAAGAATAAAGTGTTTTTCTTTTAAAAAAATGTATGGATTTTACTTAATTTCTCCCTGTTGTCACTGATCAGTGACCACGATATACATACAGGGGCATACAGGGTGACAACTTATTACAAACACAAATCATGAAAATCTACTCCAGCCAGCCAGAGACCAGTGATGTCAACTCAAATATTGCTCCCCTCTAAAATAATGCCCAGAAACAATATGGGGTACTCAAGTTACACTTCTAATCCCACCCACAGCGAGGGATGTATCCCAAAACCCAAACAGGGCAGCAGAATCACAGACAAAAGGCAAAAGATACTGGGATAGCCCAGGCTGCCTCTATCCCACCCTATTTACTGGCTTTAGTCCTCCCTACCGCCCCTGCCCAAATTTAGTTAACTAAAAAGTACCAGCTGTGAAGAAGTCTGTCTTGTGTTGGTCTAATATTAGTTTATCAAACATGCTTCTCAGCTCGTGGCAAAAATGAATTAAGAGGGCAGGGAGAGAATGCAGGATTCACTATGTCCTGTGTGGGTGGAGGCTTTCTTGAGAGCCCACCCCCTGCATTCTCCCCTGGAGATTAGTGTCTACAATGAACCTTCCAGAGCCTGTTGTGGTGCATTCCCGGCAGGGAACGGCTAGCTGTAAAGCTTGAGGGGCAGCCGATTGACAACTGCACTTTAGATAACGACAGCTTAGAGGCTCAGCCTAGCTGGGGTGGGCGAGCATGCCTTTCACTCAACCCCTCCACCCCCCCCCCACCCCCGCTTTTCTTTAGTGGTCCCTCTCTCCATAAAATTTTAGTAATATGTCATCTTTTATGTATTGCAAAGCCTGGTAATAGCCAAGTTCACACACACACACACACACACAAAATATGAAGAAAAATAATAGACACATAAACAAACATACATGACAAATTTGGCTCTATTGCCTGGGGCAAACAAAGCAAACACTTCTCCCCAAAATGGCGTCTACAAATTAAGTGACTGGCTTACTGTTACAATTTATTTTATGTTTTTAGTTCCTTTTCAGCCACACACACACGTATCAAATTTTACTAATATTTTTCTCAAAATCTATTTGATAGGGTGGCCCCACCACCACAACCAGGAGGCAGGATAGTTCACATAGCCGGTGAGTCTGAGTAGACAGACAACCTAGAGCCTTAGGTCTCTAAGTCCAAGAGGCTGGCTGGCAGAGAGAGCCACGTGGTACTCAGCCAGCAGAGGCAGGACACCCTGGGGGGGGGTGGCGACTTGACACCTCTACTGTGGAGCAGGAAAGCCGCCTACACAGATTCAATTGTAGGCAGAACCTGTTTTTTTTACTATGGGCCTATTTTAGGGCAAGAACATTAAACATTGGCAAGGGGATGTGGCTGCTCCAGGGCTAACTCAAACTGTAAGAACAAGGAATGGCTGGAGGCAGTAATTTGGGGCAAATTTGAGAAAGACAAAAGGGTGGTGAGGTTACAGGGAGTAAAGAAGCACCCCTGCAGGAAGGAGCTCCAGACCAGGAGGGAGGTGACAAAAACAGTAAATTTATAACTATGCAAAAGTATTTTGAAGGGTTTAGGAAGAAAAGGGCTGAAGATACAATCAGATAATGGCTGGCTGCAAGTCTCTGGCTACTGAAGGAGTTAAAACCAGGTGCAACAAAGAGCAGGTGTCACCTCTAAGAGCCAAAGATGGCCACTGATGAGGATTTCAGATAGTCACCCTGAAATCACTGTGCCCTCATAGTCCCACAGAATTTCAACTAGCACAGGAATTTCAACTTAATTTATCTACAGAACGGAGTTTTCAAACAAATATCTCAAATTCATCAACCAAAAAGACTTAAAAGTCAGTAATCTTATTTAACAATTTAAAACCTGAGCATTGGGTTTTGACTCTAGGAAGGACAGCCTCTGAGGCTTCCACTTTCAGACTTGTGAGTGAGACCCAAAGACTGCTGGGCAGCAGAAGCTGGCAGGTTTCCCCTTCCCCCAAGGCAAGAGCTGTCTGGGTGTCCTGGCTTATGTTGCTGCTCCAATTAGACTTCATTAGGAAGATTTGCTTTGGGTAATTGAGGTTGTGTGAGAAGGTGAAATACACCATTCCCCTTAAATTCAAATAGCATTCAGGGCCCAGAAGCCCTCGGGGTGCCTGGAATTTCCACCAGGAGTTACAGAAATCTTAAATAGCTTTTCCACTAAACCCACCTCCCACCCCACCCCCACCCCTGCTAGCAGCCTTCCCTGGTGCTGCCTCTCATCTGAAATAGGTACCCCTCCCTCAATAGCCTCTGCAGCATCCTTAGCTGCTCTGCACAAAGAAACCATAGCACCGCGTGGACACCTTGTGTGGCTGCAAGTGGCAGGAGCATGACAGGCTGAGGCACAATTTGGTGGCCATGCTACAAAGAAGGCTGCGATTGAACCCCTGCTCACAAGCCTGAGCCTGAGCTTTATTTCATCCAGAGCTGATGGGGTGGATTCATAAACATCATCTCATCCCCCTAATACCCGTCCCACATCAGCCCTGCATCCAGCGTCTTGACCTATCTGATAGAGGCTTCTTTCCTTCAATCAGCATGTGCCTCAAATACTCGCCACACAGCCCCTTCTGCAGCCCCTTCTGCAGAGAGCAGTAAGCTGCTGCTGCCTCCACCGGCCAACACTGGCAGAGGTTCTGGCAGAGAAAGGGGGGCTGCAGCAGTCTTAATTGAGCGGTAATTAATTGAACAGTTTCAAAGTCTTATTGCTACTCAGGGAAGCACTCAGAAAACCTTTGTCACTGGGAAGATTAGAAACTTAGTGGTTGCCCGAATTCTTTTTTTATTTTCTCTTTTTCCCGTGTCAGTTTCCTGAAAACCAATGGTACAAACAAGAGCTATAGTGCAGAGAAGGCTGCCCCTTCCCCAAAGCCACAAACCAAAGGAACCCCAGTGCCAATGAGCTTGCTTTTCCTCTTGCTCACTCTACTTCTCTGCCTCCCAATGGTCTTCCCTACTTGGTTACAGGGAAGAATCCAGAGTCAGGATATCTGGAGGGGCCTTGGGCTTTAGTCAGGAAAAAAAAAAAACCCTAAAATGTAAATAGAAACACAATTGCTGATCATAAACAAACACAAGCGTAAGTTTTGAAAGCCTGGGGTATCACAGGAAAGGGGGACCACATGGTTTCAGGTTAATGAGGCTAACGGAGAGTTTCAGTTGCCCTTACTTTCAAAAGGACATCTGATTTCTCACTTGGGCATCTGGGTCTGCTGCACTGAGCAAGTTGCCTTTCCTCAGAAAAGCAGAGTCTAATGGAAGCATGAGTAATGTGTCCATGCTTTTCTAATACAGCAAATCCTGTTCCCCAGACGATAAACCATCATCTCCCCATAGCCTTCCACTCTAGCACATTCCGCATGTGGATGAGGTCAAGAAGCAGCTTAGCTCTGGATCCTCACACCTATTCAGCCCTGTTCGGGCACTAGCCTGTCTTGACTTCCTCTTCCCTTGTTCTCAATTGCACCTGAATAGTCCCCTCCTCCCTTGTCTATAACAAAGTCAACTGCAATAGGGAAGACATTTAACATCCTTTGTCAGGGAGCTGGTGAGATGGGTAAGCAAAGGTGCTTGATTCATGGCACCCACAGTGTGGAGGGAACCAGCTCCTGCAAGTTATCTTCTAACCCCCACATGGGCACATGCATGCCAAGCACATGCACACACACACAAGTGTGTAACACACAAATAAATGGGGAAAAATAAGATCCTTTGTTAGTGTCTAGTTATAATGGGGGAGACCATTAAAAACCTCATTCCTAGTAGGGTAAGGCCCAGCTCAGGTGCTCCCCTCACCTCAACACACAACGCCGATTCTTCTCAACACATCAGACATATACTTCTCTATCAATTCAGCAAAGTCACCAGCCTCCACAGGCTCACAACCCAACAAGGTGACCCCCAGTCAACCTGCATGCTAATTATCTCCAGCTCTTACCATTCTGGGTTTTCCAAGTCCTTGGGCCAGGCCATCCAGTTATCTTTTGTGCTGCTTAGCTTCTCCAACACCTGGCTCATCTGCAGGGCCCTCTTGAGCCATGCTGCTGGCGTACAACAGCCTCAGCACTTAGCCCCACTCATCCAACTCACTTGCTCAGTAACTAGAGGAAAATGAGAGGGGGATCAGGATTAAGTTCTGAGCTCTATTTTTCCCAGTATGAATTTACCTTTAAATTAAAATGGTTTCTAGTCAAGTGAAAATATTCTTTCTCAGCTCTTTTCAACCAGGAGTGATTTTGCACTCCAGAAGCTATTTGGACAAAATATGAGGACATTTTTACTATGGCTACTAAGGAGATGCTAATGGCATCTAGGAGGTATAGACTAAGGAAGCAATATAATATCTTGCCACACACAAGACAGTCACCATAGCAAAGAATTAGCCCAACCTAAGTCACTAGTGCAGAGGTTGAGAAGCCAGGGTCTAGAGGGAGCTGCCCTCACTTTGTCCTCTGGAGCCATCCCTGCTCTCAAATCAAATATATCCCTTTTATTCTGACTATCAGAATTTTTATCTGATTCAGTGATCTCAAATCCTAGTAAGGTTGATTGCCAATTTGAATGTATGCTTTCTACCCTTTTCCTAAAAGTCAGACCTTTCCTTCCCAGAAACAGGTTGTAAAGATCCGCCCCAAGGCGTCCATCTTCCTTTCACATCTGCCATGTCTGAAATCAAACAAGACTCCTTCCTGCCTCCATACCAGCCCCTTCCTGGCTTCCCCCTGCAGTTCCCAGTCTTGGATTCTTCAGCCCTTTGTGACCCATCTAACATAAGGGCTTTCGGGGGACATCAGGAAACCCTTTTGATTCCCTTTTTGTCACTGAGCCTGGGTCCCCCCTTAAAGGACTTCCGCAGCTGCAGCCTTCTTGGTACACACCCCCTTTCCTTTGTTCCCTTCATCCGAACCAACCTCCATGTTGGTTCTGTCTTTTCTAAAATTTGACTCAAATCCTCATCCACAAAGGGGGAGAAAACACACCTTTTACCATCTAATCCATTTCCTCCTTTTCACTTCCTGCCAAAATAGCCCGGATGCTCCATGGATGCCTCAGAACGCCCATCCAGTTGCTTTTTTTTTTTTTTTAAAACCACCCCGTCTTTCCCACCGCTTTTATAGGAGCAAAGGGGTTCGATCGTTTACACGACAGGGACCCACACTTCCTTTTGTAGGATTCTTTGTTCCAGATAGGTGAAGGTGTGCCCACCCTGCCCCGCCCCTTCTATTCACAGTCAAGACATCTTTCTATGGAGAACCATTCGAGGCGCCATTTTCTCCGGTCGGTCTTTGCAAACCTTCCGACTGGAGGCCTTCTCTTTTCATTTTCATGCCGTTCTGCTCCTTCGCAAGGAGATTGGCACGATCTGTTTCTTTTTCCCAGTCAGAAAAACACGATATGAGAAAAAGCGTGGAACAAAAGATTCCCACAGACCATGAGAATGTCTGAACAAAGAGAATCTGAATCCTTTTTTTTTTTTTTTTTTGATGAATGTGCTTTAGGGGCGGGTGTGAGAGGCCTGGGAAGCCCAAGAAAGCCGCGTGGCGGTCTCCTTGGGTCTCAAACCTCAGCCAGCGTCTACTGACCTTCCACCTTGTGCAGGGTTCAGCATCCCTGGAAAATGACCTCTGTCCATTCTGTCCTGCTCGTCTCTCTCTCTCTCCAGGGGCCTGGATCACCATCTCCAGGCCCTGGAAATGCTTCTTCGCGGTGCCTCAGCGGTAGCCATCTCTGTAAAGAGGGTTAGCCAACCGCCATCATGACCCCAAGGGGTGGATCATGGGAGACCCCGACCTTCCCACTTGGCCTTGGCGATTAAGGGCATTAAAAAGATTGACCCTTAAGGCACCTACGGCGCCCGTGGCCTTCTAGGCCTGGTCGCCATACGCACGCCCGCCAACCGCTTGCAACCAACCCAGCAAGCACAACCTCTTTGGGCGTTCCAACGCGGCGCCCCCTATTGGACCTCCCACCCATATCCGGTTTCCGGTCTGAAGCCCCCCGCTCATTCGCCAGGCATCCTTGATTGGCGTGACCCCAGCCCAATAGCTGACCTGACGCTGGGGTCGGAGGGGAGTGGGTTGGTGGTTGAGATTCAGTTGGACCATTCAGAGTGTGTTCAAATTGTTTCGCCATTTTGCGTGGGAGTAGTTGACCGAAACTTTGGACCAAAGTTCAAAGTATTCGGCATGGAGTGTGTCGAACCGTGTCGAACCGTAGAGCTGAGGGCACGCGCCTTCGGGTGGTCCCAGGGATTCACTAGGGGTCCACTTTGTCTGCTTTCCTTTACTCAGGCGACCACGTGGATGCTGTAGGTAGGGCACAGTAGTGTTCTGAGCCTGCAGTGAGAAGAGGGGACACGTTAGACTTTGGAGAGGTAGAGCTTGCCGCGGTACACCCGCATGTGTCTTGCAGTACAGCCAGCTACATGGTGCATAATTGCTGCAATCTACCCGTGTATGACTCCACAGTCTTTCTCCTACCCCAGGGTCCCACAGGTCCGACAACCACCTACCCACTGCCTGGCTGCACTGCCAGAGAAGACAATGCCTCGCGCCATTGCCGACTGGTGCGCGTGCCGCGTTATAGGCTCTGGTCTGAGAGCGGCCAAAAAAAATTTTTTTTAAACCAGCCCCTGTTTTGAATTCCTATGTAGACCCCAGCCCTACGACGTCTTGTGTTTCATTCACTGAGCCCACTGGGCGATGTGGCTGTTTACTTCTCGCGGCTCTGAGCCAACCGCGGCACCGTAAGGGGCGCGCAGCCGTGGACTTTGTGGCCGCGCTTAATGCAGCCTGTGTGTACTGTTGTAGTTCAAAGAACAGAATCTCTCCACAGTGCTCACACGAGAAAGAGAGGGACTGGCACGGGGCTGACAAGGGGATGGAGAGGGGTTAAATGAACTGAATACCGAATCGGCGGCAGGCCCTGGAGGCCGGAAGCTGTGGGTCTCAGTCACTCTTAGTGCTGCGGCACGGTTGATCGATGATTAATGCATATCGGTTTGTCTAGTCTTTAAGACCCTTCCAAATCGACTATCAACCACATCCGAAATCGCCTTTAACCCTCCCCCAGAAAGCAGAAGTCGGAGGCCTGTGTTATATAGGGGTCTTCCGGTAAGCCCCGTACCCTCTCCCCTATCTGCACGGTAACGGCCGCGGCAACCACGGGGACTGCGTAGGGGTCTTCGCTTGATTTTTCCGCAGTGCACCGCCGAGATCCTTATTTCTACTGCGTCACCATCCACATAAACAATGCGAGCCCTGACTGCATACATCACACTAGGCCACCACTAAGACCCCCCGAAGTACAACGGGGAACGGTGGGATATTGAAGGGATTTACCGGAGCTATTCTTCACAAACAGCAAACAAAAACATAAAAAATAAAATGAATTAAAATAAAACGACTCCGGAGCATTTTTAAAAAACAAATTGCGCGTTCGCATTTGGCAGCCCCTCACCCTTTGCCCCTTCTCTGCTCTTCCGGTGGGCTCACGCCCACCTGTCGCATTTTTTATGCGCGTGCCTCTATCCCTTTACATTTATCTTAAAGGCTCATTTTCCCGACTGGGAGCTGAGTATGCATAATTGCCTGAGTCTGGGGTCTCCGGATAAGGGGTTTGCCGCACACTGGGGTAATCTTGGGTAATAACGCCCTCCTGCAGTCCCTCCTCCCCCTCGGGAAGAACCGGATGGGGAGGGAGGGATTCAGCGCCTGTGCTCTGACAGACCAATGCCCACGCCTTACGTCACGTGTCCCAGCAACGCAGGAGAGCGTGCTCTCTCTCTGGCCAGAAGAAAAGCGAGCAAGAGAGCCTCAGCATCAGTCCGGGAGAGAAGAGGAAGGAGTCGAACGTCCCTGTCAGGCCTGCGTTTATCAGCCCCCTTACCCAAAGTCGGGAACGGCTGGCACTGGGAGCCAGCCTCCCGGAGCCGGCTCAACACTGAGACCGGCGTCCTCTGGCGGCTGAGAAAGAGTTTTGCTAACGATTTTCGAGACGAATCGGCACGCTCTGGAATGCCAAGAGGGCGGGGCTAAAGTTAACAAAGTAAGAAGAAAGAAGAGAAAAAGCCTCCGCGTGGCTGGCGGACCGCAGTCTGAACGGATAAAGTTGACTAGGAAGTCTCCAGGCTCTCCCAGGAAGAAATAAGTGACTTCAGCCATGGTTTGGGGTTTTAGACCCTGAACACTTGTCTTTACAAAAGTTGGAAACTGAGGCTGGAGAATTTTCCAGCCAATTCTTGAATTTTTTTAAAAAAAATTTTTTTTCACCCTAGTTTGGCTGGGTGCTCCGTCTTCCGGGGCCCCAAATTTATTTTGAAAAACCGCCAAAGTGTTATGGGCATGCGCAACTGCCTCCACGGCAACAATATGCCAGGACAACACAATATCCCCGCTGAAGACGGCGAGCAGCCCGAGCAAGAACCTTTGGAGGCCGCAGGGGCAGCTGCCCCCGGTGCTGGGCCTGGCCCAGCCGAAGAAATGGAGACCGAACCGTCTGACAATGAGCCCGTCGCCGACGAGACTAGCACTGAGGTCCTTGGAACCCCTGAAGTCTCCAAATCTGAGTTCCAGGGCCTCAACCAGGGCATCGAGGAGGTCCGAGTGGGTGGAGACTACAGCCCACCTCCAGAGGAAGCCATGCCATTTGAGACCAAACAGTCCAGCCTCAACGATTTCTGGCCCACCTTGGAGCAGCTTGGAGCATCTGGGACCCAAGCAGGCATCAAAGCCTTTAATCCAGCGCTTTTGGAGCCCAGGCCCCCCAGTGGTGAGAACCCAGGCCTGGGAACCTACAGCCCCCCACCAGAAGAAACCATGCCATTTGAGTTCAACGAACCTGCCCAGGAAGACCGTAGCCAGTTGCGCTTGCAAGTCCCAGACCTTGCTCCAGGAGGTCCGGAGGCAGGAGTCGTCAAAGCTCTTCCCGCGGAGCCCGGGAACCTCAGATCTGCAAACGCTGGCTTCCGAGACGACTACAGTCCTCCACCGGAAGAATCTGTGCCATTTGGGCTTGAGGGAGAAGAATTTGGGGGCGATAGCCCACCCCCAGGACTCCCCCGCGTCATCCCACAAATCGGCATTGGCGGCGAGTTCCCGGCAGCCGCGGTCCCGAGGGCGCTCAGCCTCGCTCCCGCCGAGAACGCGCCTCCCCTCTGGGTCCACAGCGCCATTGACAGACCATTCAGCGAGGCTATCAGATCTCCTCCTAACTTCGCATGCGACAGCCCCCCAATGGAGATCTCCAGACCCCCGCTTGAGATTGGCAGAGCCTCCACTAGGGTCGACGACGACACCACTGTCAATATGGACGGCCCCCCAATCGCAAGTGATGGCCCGCCCATCGAAGTCTCCGGAGCCCCAGATAAGAGCCAGTGCGCAGAGAGACCCCCAGTTGAGCGAGAAGCAGCCGAGATGGAAGGAAGCCCAACCACTGCAGCTGCGGAGGAAGGAAAAGTCCCTTCTCCGGAGAGAAGAGACGGATCCTTCGCCGAGCCAGAAGCCATGGATGCCAAGCCAGCCCCTGCTGCCCAAGCCGTCGCTGCCGAACCTGAACCTGACGCCGCCGCCGCCAGCGGATCTCCTCCGGCCCCAGCAACACCCACGGATCTCCAGACCGATTCTGAACAAGAAGTCGGAGCAGCCCCTGCTGTCCGAGCTGAGCCTGACGGAGGGGCAGCCCCGGTCGCCCCAGCCACCCCTGCCGAGCCTGAAGACGACGACGGCGGAGCAGCCAGCGGAGTTCCAGCAGCCGGAGTTCCAGCAGCCGAGCCAGCCTCCGAGGCAGTCCCTGCCACCAAGGCCGAGTCTGCCTCCGGGGCAGCCCCTGCCGCTCAGGTGGAGCCCGCAGTCGCGGCAGTCTCTGCCACCCTGGCGGAGCCTGCCGCCCGGGCAGCCCCTATCACCCCTCCGGAGCCCGCTCCCCGGCCAATCCCCACTGCCAGAGCCCATCCAGCTGCCGGGGCAGTCCCCGGAGCCCCAGCAATGTCAGCCTCCGCTAGGGCAACTGCCGCTAGGGCAGCCTATGCAGGTCCTCTGGTCTGGGGAGCCAGGTCACTCTCTGCTACTCCCGCCGCCCAGGCATGCCTTCCTGCCCGCGCAGCTGCCGCCGCCCGGGCAGCCTCTGCTGCCCGGGCAGTCGCTGCAGGCTACTCAATCTCTGACGCCCGAGCAATGGCTATCGGCAGAACAATCCCTGCCGCCCCAAGCAGGGCCCACCTTAGGCCCCCCAGCCCCGAGATCCAGGTGGCTGATCCGCCTACTCCGAGGCCTGCTCCGAGGCCATCCGCCTGGCCAGACAAGTACGAGCGTGGCCGAAGCTGCTGCAGGTACGAGGAGGCGTCGTCCGTCATCTGCGAGATCGACTCCTCTAGTGATGAGTCGGAAGAAGGGGCCAACGGCTGCTTCCAGTGGCTTCTGCGGCGAAACCGCCGCCCCGGCCAGCCCCGGAGCCACTCGGTCGGATGCAACCCAGTGCGCAACTTCTTCGCCAGAACCTTTGGAAGCTGCTTCGGTCTCTCCGAGAGATCCCGTTCCCTCAGCCCGAGGAAGGCCAAGGATCCTTTCGAGGAGAGGCGCAAACAGATGCGCAAAGAAGCCATTGAGATGCGAGAGCAGAAGCGCGCAGATAAGAAACGCAGCAAGCTCATCGACAAGCAACTGGAGGAGGAGAAGATGGACTACATGTGTACGCACCGCCTGCTGCTTCTAGGTAATGCGGCAGCTCCTGCCCCTGGGCTGTAGGGCGGCCCCGGGCACCCTGGGAGGGGGTGGCAGGGCCTTCCGGTGGGGCTTGGTCCTTGACCAAGGGAGGAGGGGTCCGGAAACCCTGCTAGAAGTTCCAGGGAGGGACCCCAACTCTGCCCTGGGGGTGGGAGAGGGGATTTTGCGAGGGTTCGGGTGGCAGAAGTATATGCCCTTTAGGGAGAAAAGTGGTGCCGAGCCACACTGAGGGTCGTTACCGGCCGGAGGCCAGCGCCAGAGCCAGCGATCCTAGGCTGGACAGGCGGGGGCGTGAGGTGAGCCCGGAATTGCTGGGGTGGGCCCTTCGGGGCTCCCCCAGTTTGATGTTTGTCACCGCGGTGGGCTAGGGCCATCCGGGTGCGCGCCCCCGCCTCGCCTGGCTGCTTCGACTCAGACAGCTTGTTGTTGGTGTGTGTTGGTGTCCATTTTCTGTGTCCGCCTGTGCATGACATGCTCAGTGTGTCCCAGTTTTCATCCATAGCACCTTCAGTGTACCGCCGATTGTGTATGTGTACTCTAAAATGGGCTGCCTTGTGATTTGCGCCATGGCGCGAGCAAAACTTTCCGTGTTGGCACACTCTGTGAAACCTCAGCGCGGACTCTCAGCAGCGAGCAGAGAGAAAATACGCAGGCAAAGGTGGCTGGGCATCCTGGGTAATATGCCGGGCTGCAGGCCGGGGAGGAGGGGGGGAGCGGGACCGTAGCCGCGGGCCTCCATAACCTTCCCTCCCCACACCCCCCCCCCGTATGTTTTTTCTCCTTTTTTTTTCCTTTGCGCTAAGCGTTTCCTCACTTCTCAATTCGTACGTCAAACCCTCCCGCCTTAACGGTTGAAAAACCAGACACTCAGGTATCTGGGGCTTTGGGGTTGTGAACAACGTCTGTATTTTGTATTCTGCACACACACACACACACACACACACACACACACACACACACACACACACTGGACCCACCTGGGGGGAGGGAAGAGGGAGGAGGAACGGGGTATACTTTAGCCCTGTTTGGCAAGGCCACATTATAAACACACGGGGTTGATTTTTAAGGGGGTGGGCGTGGCTGAGTTTAAAAACTATATGAAATGATTTTCTTCTTAGCGAAGAGCCCGAGGTAAGCCAATCAATCACTTAACATTTTTACAGCCTATGGTAGGAGGGGCCCTGGTTGAAAAGGTTGGGACTTCTGCTGGGAGGGCAATGTTGCCTTTGTATTTTAATTGCGATTAAAAAATAAAAAAAAATTAAATACTTTTGAGTGCATAATGAATGTGTGGACAAGCATGGGGCACTGGAGCTATGACTTGTGAACTGTGTCAATGTTTGCATGTGACTCTTTTTCAAGCAGCTTTAGCTGGGGAAAGAGGACAAAGGTAAGATCTTTTCTAAATCAGTTTGGGGTTTAAAAAAATAAAGACTTTAGGATGAAGATTGAACAAATGTTATGACAGCCAGATGAGAGCCTTTGGAAGCTCTCATCTTCCCCCCCATCTGCTCAACTTGTTCCCTAGCTCTCCATGCCCCCTCCCCTCGTCAAGACCTCTCCCCTCATTCCACAGCCAGAGCCTCCCCCCCCCCCCCCCCTTGCTCCAGCCTTCTCATCTCCAACCTGAGGCATTCATTCTTCTTGCCAGATTAATCAGAACAGCAATTAACAAAGTCTGGATCTATGGCTTAAATAAAATCTTCACGAGTGAATCTCTCCGATTAATTTCCTTTATTCTCTAAAACCTGTCAAGGGATCTCAGGACCATAGTGTCTGAGGCTGTGCTACGTTTGACTGCTAAATATTTGATACTCTTTGATGATGTTTATTAAAAACATTGCTGACGTGACTGTGCTCTTGCGATGTGCCTCCTCTCACAAATTGTGACTTTACATGGGATGGTCATTTTATTCGTGTCTACCTGGGGAACTGCTGGGATCATTGAATCAAACACATGAAAAAAGAAGTAGTTTGAAATTTACAAATGTCCCCGTTATGTGAAAAGCATAGGGCATTGCAATGACAGGGTTCTGGTCTCGCTGCAGTCCCCATTTCCATACTCCGGGAAGCTGACCTGTGATTTGGGGGGGTGAGGGGGGGCAATGTCTGCAGATAAGAGGCCCGAGTGACTATGCACATCTGAATACAGTGCCCCTTACTTGCTGGGGCCTCAGTTGCCTCATTTGAGAAATAAAGTTTTCCTAGGAAATTTTCATTAACGTGTCCTCCAGCACCAGGATTTGGGTCTTCTGCTTAGCCCCCAGCTCCAATCCAATTAGAAAGGGGTGGGGGGCGGAGACTTACAGTACCCATTAATGCAGCTCTCTGCACCAAACCCCATGTTTGGGGCCAGGTTCTTTCAGAATAATAAAAGCTTCCCTTGCTTTCCCTAGATTTTTTTTTTTCCTAGATGGGATAATTAAACCAAAACAGAAGCACATTTGTTGAGGTACTTTGGTACCATGCTGCCTATGCTTTGTGGATGACAGTCATTACAGACTTTTGGAAGCAGCAGCATCCAGAGCAGGCCAGGCTGCTCAGCCTTAGCCTAGGCCCTGCCTGAGCCTGAGCTAAGATGCCCATCGTCCCCTGCTCCGTGAGACTGCAGCACTGCTGTCTGCCAAAGCAGGCTGCAGTCCCCACCAGGCTACTTTCATTTTGCTAAAGTAACAAGACAGGGATTGTATCCAGATCCCTGCTACTGACCGGGGAAGGGGAGAAACAGAAGGGAAGGAGTTACTCGCATTTACAGGACTTTTTTATACTATAGCTCTCTAGCTCCACCGTGTTAAAGAAAGTATCCGAGCCTTCGGATCCTTGAAAATGCAGATCAAATGACCATCCTATAACATGCTTCTTCGCCTACCCCACGCATATCCATCTGTTGCTTAAAAAAAAAAATAGTGTTTTTCTGTGTGCTTAGGCTGTTTTTATTGCCCAAATATCATATTGCTGGAATTATTTTTAAAGATAAATGATAGATAAAAAAAGACAATTTAATAAAAATTTTATAATGTCTAGAGAGCTGAGGTTTTTGTTTTTTAATATAACCTAATCACAGGCTGTTTCCATGTTGTTGTTAGCTTAAAATAATTATGAAGGTTAAACCTTATTCTTTTTTTTCTTTTCAAAACGTCATTCAGGTATTATTCCTTCGGTTCTAACGGGGCTACTGGATCAGAATTTTTTTTTAGTATCTCCTGCCTTTATTACAATTGTGTTAGGTAAACACTATACATAATATAACCACTGTAGTGGTACCTTATTTCTATAGCAAATCACAATTAATTGTATAATAATTTATTTGGCTGCCAAGTGGTACGATACTGTACTGCACCTCAACGTGCGAAGTGATTTTTTTTTTAATGCAGCCATTTTTTTTTCCCCTGAATTCAGAATGCCTCTGCTGAACTGTTCGCCGTGGGAAGGGCATAGTTTATTGCCCCCCCCCCACCACCAAATTTTACTTTTTTTTTTTTTGCCTTTGCTTTTGCCTACCTACTACTAACATCTATGTTTTGCAGAGGCTCTTTAAGAAATTTCTATTTCTCTCAAAAACATTTTTATCCTAAATAGGTAATTTTATTTTTAGTTCGTTGACATGATTTCCCATGAAAAGATGGGAGGACACATACAGAACTGGGACCATCTCCTGCATGTGTCCCTTCCTGACTTGAAAAGGGTGGGGGACCTCAAGGCTCTCAACATTGTTAGTGGCCAGTGGTGATGATGGTGACAGGTTTAACTGCACTTTGCATTTAAAAAAGTGTTCCATCTAGTCACATTCATACTTCAAAACAGTTGTGGGCAATAAAAGCACCCACTGCATACGCATTTCCATTCAAGTCACAAGGATTAAAGGTTAGGGACCTTTCTCTTCTCCCAAAGGTTGTGAGGTGAAGATGAGGAGGCTCAGGCCTCTAGTTCTGAGAAGCTCCCACTCACCACACCTGTAAGAAAGATCCTCAGAGCTGGGGGCATGACTGTTGTGGGTGCTCCTCTGGTCTTACAACCCCCCTTTATCGACAGGTGTCTACCAGGCTGCTGCCTTCTGAATTCTAGTCAGGCCCTGGGAGATCACTGACTATAAACACGAAATGTATATGGCCCATTTGGGGAAAGCCATTGTTATGGAGGATTAATAACCACATTTGCTTCCTCTCACCAGCCCCATCCCACAAGTTAGAATGCACCCCCCCCCTTTTTAATAAATAAGAGAAGAGTCTCTCAATAGTTTTCTTTAACAGGGCTCAAGCTTGTAACAACATCAATATCAGTAATAGCAGCAGCAATTATTATTATTAATTAATAATGATATGCTTATTAATCACTATCATTTAATATCATTAATATTGTTATTAATTAATAATAACTGTGATGCCCTTGCTTTTATGTTTATGTTCCTGAGTGGGGAATGCTATCATATACCAAATTCTGGAGGAAAGATTACAGGGCCCCTAATAAGTTTCTCTTCCTGGTTTTAGAAGAAGAAATCCTGATTTTTAGTTCACAGCCTGGTCCCATTTTTCCATTTATCAAGAATCTGTGTATGATTTTGAAAAGTACTTGTTTTGTTTTAGTTTAATACAGGAAAATTATTGTAAGCTAAAAAATTAAAGGCGAGGATAGCCTCATTGATTAAAACTGAAACCCTCAACTCTAGGCATACCCCCTTGTTTTCAAAATCAATTCCCCCTTCAAATAAAATGTGCCCACCCTCTTCCTAGCAAAGCCATGGCTTTTCAAATGTCTCTGTGCTTTCCAGGAGACACACAAGTAGCAAATGAAAATTAGTTTTTGAACTTTTTTTTTTCTTAACCTATGACACAGGTTAAATGCACCTTTCCCCTCCCAGGGTTTTAATGAAATTAAAGTTAGTATGTTTTTGTTTTTCTTATTTTAAAATAAAACTTCACAGAAAAGATAGAGGTTTTTCAAATAGAAACAACAGGGCCAAAAGGAAGAGACTAGGAGCAGTGGGCAGTG